AAATATAACGAACATGACTGGAATCCCAACTTGGATCTTCAGTTTCTAGTTGCAACATCCTATCTATTACGCCACTTACACATCCACCCTTGTTTGATGAAGTGACAAGCTGGTTTTGTTGACTTCAATCTAATTGAAAACTTGTGGAGCCTTCTGAAGTGGAAGGTTCACATTGGTGGACAGCATGTTACCAGCAAAGCTGAATTTTGGTAATCTGTTCTGGATGCTGTGCAGTCAGTTTCTTGTGACTGCTCACAAAACCAATGGATTGAACAACTTAGAACTTGTCTTATGAAATGAAGCATACATTTATTTAAATCATTTCACACCAAGTAAGGCAATGAAGCCACTAGGATGCAAAGGTGTTAGAGAATATGAGAAAAACTATTATTAAGGAGAGTGACAATAAAATATTAATAATTAAGAAGACAGGTGATAACGATTGACATTGCATTTAAGTGTTTGAAGATCAAAGTTGACTGAGAAGAAAGAAGCTGGAGGAGGGTACCACAAGCAAGGAGTGTGAGAAGAAACTGTTAGCATAGAATGTACGGTTACATCTGGCCATGTCAACTCTAAGTTGATGAGATCTTATTGTTGCAATTATAGTTTTGAATGTTTTTTCTTTAAAATATTTTCTTTTAAGTTTTGTATGTGTTCTGTAATTGTAAATCTTCATATGTTTCTTGATATTTTCACAATGTTTCTTAAGGTTTCTGATATTTGGTCTATATGAAACTTTGAAAATCCTATTTAATATTTGCAATAATGGTTACCAAATTATAAGAGTATCATCTAGACTATTATAATTTGTGGATATTATGTGAAATATCCTGCAAGTAGCTAATAATGGTAATTTTGACCATTTCTTTATAAGGAAACATTCAGCATTCACTGACTGTAGCCAATTCTATTCATGTTTGGTTTTTCTTCACATCCTGGCCTTTGGGCTGGGATCAAAGTGTAATATCTGTTCTCATCTCTAATGGTAATGTTATTCATTTTCTTTATAACGAAACATTTGGTGTTCATTCACCGAGCAGCCAGTCCTGCTGTTCGTTATTTTCCCCACTCTTCGCAAGCAAATTGTGCATATGGGGACTAGTTAGGACTTCATAGAGAAATTGTGGTATTATGGTGACTGCAGTAAGAAGGCTAAATATAAGAATGTGCTGTTTTGGTTTAAGGAAAGTTAGCGTATATTTGGGTCCATCATTCTGACTAGCTATGGTAAGTGTTGAACAGATATTCCATATATCCCCTTTTGGCTTTGTACCATATTTCTTGTAAATAACAAAAATATTGCCACTTTTATTCACTCCCTGGCTATCTGGCTGTGATCAAAATGTATTTGTTCTCTAAGAAGTTCATACTGCATTCAGTCGAAATTTATAAAATCTTTCTATTGGCACAATTTTTCAAGAAATTTTCAAGGTTCTCAGATCCAGTCACTGTTATCACTCTTTCCAGTATTGAGTGGGTAGGTGGGTAGGTGGATGTCTTCTTTTCTTGCCTTATGTTTGAAGTAGTGTGCAACATCAGCATCTTGATCGTTATTTTTCTTACAAGTTATATGTGCTATCCATTTTAGCTGTTGCTGCTGTTGAAAGTCCTCCAGTGATGCGGTTTCTAGTATCTGGTAGAGTTCTTTGTTTGTAGTCAGTCCATGAGTTTCAAATAAGGATGGTCCTTGCTAAGACGTACACACTGCTCTTGCTCAAAGCCATTTTTAACAATTGATCTGAGAAACGGTTGTATACGGTTAACGTATTTCTGAACTAGTTTGGTGAACAGCATCCATATAAAAGTCTAGATCTGATGATATTATTTAAGGACATTACTCTAATTTTTAGTTTAATGTTTTGGTTTTGTAGCAACTTGTGGCATTGGGTGAAACTATCCCTAATACATCTTATTCTACATTCAATTTCCTTATCTCCTATACTTTTTTTTTGTTTGTTTATAGCTGATCCATACATCAGGGTATCTGAAGTCTAATGTGAGACACACACACATATATATATATATATATATATATATATATATATATATATATATATATATATATATATATTTCCTTAAATATGACAGATGAGGAAAATCTAATTAATTTTTTATTTAGTTTTCCCAGGATCCTTTTCGTTTGGTGGGAGTAAGGGAGTACAAAAAACATATATAAAAATATCAATGTGTGTGTGTGTGTGTGTGTGTGTGTATATATATATATATATATATATATATATATATATATATATATGGAAAGATATAAAATAACAATGATAAAAAAAAATTCTTGAATAGAGTACACCTAAATTCCTTTTCCGAAAGAGTGAACTAAAAGACATAAAACAAAACATTAATCAACAATATTTTCCCCAAGAACGTCACTGATAAATAAATAAAATTATTCCTGAAAAAAAAAAATACACGACACCAGTAATAAAAGTACCACACAAAAAAAACATCAACATATTTTATTGCAACCAGATGCATAATAAATGTAAGCAGAATGAATTCACTATACGAAGAACCATTATACACCTTATTTCTCCAGTAATTCCTGAAAAATCTGTAAAACTTAGGTTATGGAAAATCATAAACCTTGTTGTCGCTAATCGAAATAATCCCAACAAATCTAAACTTGCAATGACCAATATAGTGCATCAATTTTACTGCCCAGTCCAAGACTGTTTCTTGTCACAAAATCAATTATCTATATCAGACATACTACCACATCCTTGAGTTGATGTCTCACGTAAATAAAAAGCATCTATTTATCCACAATTAGCAAGAACCCTTAAGACAAATTCTGGTCGAAAACACAAAAATTCTATATAAATGACATTACCGGAAACATCTTGCTATAAGAGAGGCCCTGTATATTAAACATCTCTCTTTTGCTATCAACCTGAGCTTATTTAACAGAACAAAGTGTTAATAGTTTTTTTTTTTTTTTTTTTTAAATAGAAAGATGGTTACTAGAATTCCAGCTCAATATTCGAAGGCTTGGAATAAACGCTCCTATTCAAAACAACACAAAAATAAAACGTTAAACAGTCAAAACCTGAAGAAAACCCAATACCACCAAAAACAAAATCCCATTGAAAATGGCTGAAGTGGCCGAAAGCACTTGCGCCAGTGAACATTATGGAAATTTTTTGTACTCCTTCAGTCAGTTATGTGCCATGCGTGATACACGCTTAGGCGATACCTCTTTCGATACATGACTGACGAGGCAGATTTTTTTCCCGCAGTAGGTTGCCTTTTCTTTCTGCAGTAGACCAGTCCTGCTATTTAGCTGGAGGTAGAAGAGGATTCACACCTTTCCCAAGGGTATTAGCAAGTAAGTGAATGTAATGGATTCGACTGGAATTCGAACTCTGCTCTCCGATTCCTCAATCCAAGCCGCTATCCATTACTACACCGTTCATCCGCTGTACTCCCTTACTCTCACCAAATGGAACATACACACACACACACATATATATATATATATATATATATATATATATATATATATATATATACACACACGTACTAGTGTACCCGTGACGGTAAGAAGGCATGTATTATATTGTAAGAAATTTTCGTTTAATCCAAGTGCAATTTTTTTTCTGTGTAACAATTGAGAGAAAGTGTGCAAGATAATGATGGCCCACCTTCCCAAATTCAAATTATATTTGTTTTTGAAAAGAAAGAAGAACTTTAGTTAAATAAAAATTATGAGACAGACATGAGTTATGGGCAGCTTTATTCGTATTGAATATTTGTTTTACGAATCTATTTTATTTCTTTTTTAGGGTCAATTAGGAAGAAATAAATAAATATAATTTATGTACGTATGTGAGAAACAGTGAAGTGTTGCTTCCTTTTGTTTAAAAATAAAACAAATATAACTTTAATTTGGGCGGGTGTGTCATCGTTTGTGCAAAAGAATCAGTACGTGTGTGCGTGTTTTTAGTAGTAACGGGGGATACAAGAGATAATTAGAATTTAGTTCACAGTAAGAACGAAATTCTTACTGTCTCGCCGTTGTTCGAGGCAGTCTCTTTGTAGTTTTCAGCGCGGTAGATTTTTGCGTGTGTACGTGGTCTTGACTTATGTGCGCCTCATATCAAAACTTTGCACACTGCATCTCAATTGTTACACGCACGCACACATACACACACACACACACATATATATATATATATATATATATATATATATATATATATATATAAAATCGCTTCACTGAATGAAAGTTTTGATTATTTACATTATTAGGACTGTTATCCTCCTCTTCATTGCCATATTCACAACGTTTCGGCCGTTGTCCTTGTGGATAAAGGTGTTGGTTAGATCCAGTGACTAAAGCCAGAGAGTTGTGAGTTCAGTACAAGGCCACAGCAGTGGTGAACCAGACTTGGAGAGTTTAGTTAAAGGGAAAGAACTGAGACGTCCGGAAGAGGCATGGCACGTGGAACTAGAACAATCTACCCTCGGTGGACGAAATAAAGGATTCGGTTCGAAATTCCAATCACCTGAAGAAGGCTGGAGCATGCAAAGGCCTAAACGTCGTGAATATGGCAGTGAAGATCAGGATAACGGTCCGAATAATGTAAATAATGTAAGTAATCATAATACCTTATCTCAGAGATATAGACAGTTTTGATATGTTCGTTTTCGGAACTCCTACATTTGATATGTTATGGCGGATATAAACAATTCGTATGTGATGGACTGTAACAAATGCCTGGATTGATACATTTTTTTACGTCTTATAAACCTTTTGCAGGTTATTTAAAGCCAGGAAATATTTTGTAGATCATAATTTTTGGGAGATAATGATTTACTGATAAGAGTCCTAGTAATTAGCTCACAGTTGGTGGGTGAGAAGGGGGGTGCATTCATGCCCCTTTCTCAGGGGTATTTGCGCGTAAAGTGAATATAACAAACCCAACTGGAACTCCGATTTCCAATTCAGGGCCGTTGTCCATTTTATCACCCGCACATCCGAGCTTACAGCACCAGGTACACCCAAGCAGCCACCCATCTAGATAAAGACCTCGCTCAACGTTGCTTAACTTCAGTGATCGTACGAGAACCGGTGTTTCAACCTGATATGGCTGCAAGCCATCTACGGGGAAGGAGGTAGGGGACAATGAAAACTCATTTAACACATACCACTTCATATCAATGAATGTCTACTGGTCTGAATGGACATGGCACCATTTAGATGTCCACGCATGGCTCGGATCAAGCTGCTGTTGGTTTTGGAAAATAAGTCTTGATTCATTTTGTTCATCTGAGACCTGGCTTTTACATTAGACAGCCATAATCACGGTCACCCATTAAGGTACTGACTCAGCTTGACGTTGCTTAATGTCGGTGATCATGCAAGGCTGGAGATAGTGAAAAGAGCCGAATGTGTGGGGATAAGGAAAACAGATAATCTCAGAAAAGCAGACATCTTTGAGGAATTGCTATAAAAACGAACGTTTATTTCTCCACACCTCAGAATCTCGGGGAAATTCTTTTATTGCTAGATTTCTCACATAATGGTACATCGATTCAATCTACTGTCAAGTACCAGAAGCGAATATAAGTGCATTTCTGTCGGAAAATGCACTTTCGGTATATAACTAATCCTACCAGTTTTTAAAATGAGAATTTTCTTTTGCCAAATTTTTCAAACGCTGTACATCTGAATATATTGAATATGAATAAAAGAATTACTGAAATTTATTTTTTAAACATTTTTTTTTCTTTTTTAGAATGTTAGAAGTGCAGAAAGAATTTACATAATAAAAATAAGTACAAAGCTCTGTAGTTTCCGATGAACAAATAAAAATGGTTCTATGTTGTTCTATCCCAGAATGCATCAGAAAGCGAAATAAGTAAATTCCATTTTTAGAAAATGTTGATTTTTCATAACGCCACCAGTTGGAAAAAGAAAAAAGAAAAACAAACTTTGGTTTGGCAGACTATCAATTCTGTTTGACAAAAGACTAAAATCACTATTCTAAGCTAATTCTTTTTCTTTTTTTTATATCCCCAAGGAATTTGGAATTGGGGAATTTGTTTGTGACATCTTAATGACCCTCATCTGAACTGAAGAACTTGCATGCAGATAAAGAACAAGTTGATATACAAAAATAGTACAAGGATGTATTTTGTTACCAGATTTATTTACTGGATTTATTATCTTTCTCTTCGGCAAGAACTAGAAGACCAAAATTTATTATTGTTTCTTTGGTGTATGTTCAAATTCTTCCTAAAAAACAGATAAATGGCCCGAACTTTAGTATTAAAAAAATATCTTTAAGTACTTTTGTTGGCCTTCAATCAAACTTATATATATAATAGAATAAAAAAAAAAAAAAACTAAGACAAATAGGAAACATTTATTAATGTTTCATTTTGATTTTGCCAATGAAAATCGAACAACGCAAAAATAAAAATACCAGAAATTCATTCTTTCTTTTTTTTTTCTCTCTCTCCATATCTTATTTCCTGATAAAGCTTTAAAAGTGAAACCTGTAAGATTTCTAAATGTTTCCTATTTGTTCTTTAACATGCCATTCTGTTGGATTCCAATCCATATTTTATCCCAATTTACACAGACACACAATAATTATTTTTTATATAGTTTAGTTCCATTTATTATTATTTTTAAAAATAAATACCATTAACCCCTGTTTATTTTAAATATGAAGTAAAAATACTATTTTAAATGTAATACATATTTTAAAATAAAAATCGTAATCCCCATACATCGACTGCGCCAGCATTGCATTAACCAGATATTTTTTACTAAAATTTAAATTATGCAATGCTTTGTCCCTACCCAATACCTGAAGATTGCGTTGTGCATGAAACTTTCAGCCGTGTTACCGATGAGGGGTAATACTAGCCAAGAAGCCGTCTTTAGGCTAGCTCCTGCGGAGGGCTATTGGATTTTCGATCCTCAGCATCCTATGTATGTAAAAGTTATAAGAATTTAGAAATAATGATTTATTTTTGTATAATTTATCTTTATTCGACACTTTAATTCGGCATAATCTTTCTTCGTATACGCGACCGATCTCCGTAGTTTTGGTTACATTTATTTTGCGTGCAATTTTTATTTTCTTTTAAGATCACCCTTCTTTATGATCCCTTCACATAAAGTCACTCTTAAAATACATTAAGGAACCCGAACTATAGAATATTTTCAGTACGGCATAATACGCGTGCTACAAAACAAACAAACAAAAAAAAACATATGAGCAACGAACCGTGCCCCGCTTAAGTTTTAATTACAGTTTAATTAGAGATATCAATTGTAATTGTGACGAAAAGCGAAGTTAAAGTTAAACCTTTAATAATTTTTTTTTAAAAATCTTTCACTCTGTTCGATATTTAAGTTTTACTTTAAATGAGTTATTTATTGAATTTTTAATTGCGTGTAACTACAGTAGTTGCTACTTGTTACTTCAGGTTGTTTATGATTCGCCGAGATGGAAAAACAGATGGACGGACACATGTACACTGAGCTTTATTTATATAGATAGATACTTAATAACTCTGTTATATTAAACAGTTGCCTTGATCTATCCACTACCCTCATCCTTTCTTCTATCACTCCTATCTGATCTTGCTATTTCCTGTAACCCCTTGCATCCTAGTGGCTTCCCGCCTTGCTTGGGGTGAAACGCTTAAAAAAAAAAAATCGGTCGCTTATATATATAATTTTACTAAGTTCTAAGAGGACATTGACTAGTAAAGTTAAGGTGGCAAAAGTTTTTACTTGTAGGTTTTTATATAACGAAGTAGTGAATGTATTGTTACTAGAATCCAATACACAAGAATAAAAACCTACAAGTAGAAGCTCTTGCAACTTTAAGTATATATATATATATATATATATATATATATAGAGAGAGAGAGAGAGAGAAAGACAGACAGACAGATATATATGGATCGGAATCCAACAGGATAAGATAAAGAACAAACAGGAAACTTTAACAATCTAACATGTTTCACTTTTATTAAAGCTTCATTAGAGATTGAGAGAAAACAGACAAAAAAAAAAAACAACAAAAAAACTCAGAACTTTAGCATTTTCAATTTTGTGTGGTTCGATTCTCATTGGTCAGTCATGTATCACGTAAATTGAAACCGTAGATAATTCTATATGTATGTAAGTTTGTAAAAATTCTAGTATGTTTAAACGGACATCGGATGGTAATGTGTATTCGTAATTGCGTATGTGTGTCTGTCTAGTTGGAAAAGCTCTGTTTTCACTTTTGTGTGCTCAGTCGGTGTAGTGGGGTGGTATGCTATTGATATAGAGCTGTTTACGTTAGATACAAGTTAGATTCTTTTAGAATGGATTCAAGGAAAGATGGCGATGTATTTAGGCGAGTGTTTATAGTTGGTAATGTTCTTATTAAGCCTTCAGAGTATTTTCTCCTTAATCTTTAACACTGCATTATTAATATTACTTTCCTTGCCACTGCATCCTTTTTCAATTATCGTTATTGTTACTTCAAAATCAAAGTTGAATTATGTTGTCATAGCAGGATATGGCAACACAACGATCAAATTCAAATACATTATTGTTCAGAAATCTGTCAATTTCAGAAGCAAAATAAACTTTTTGTACAGCAAATGAAGTCACATACAGAGTGATAAAAAGTGCGTTCTTTTTTAATTAGGGCGGCATTAGTAAAATCGATGTTATATCCAACATCGTTCCTGTGTAATACAAGGAAGTTAGAATGTTTGTCTAAACGTAAATCTCACTTGTGTTCGTGGATTGTTTTTTTTTTTTTTTTTTTTTAACTCTCTTATACATGTATATGTTTGTTAGCAATATCAAAATTTAGTGTATTTTTCTGTATGTTAGGATCGGCTAATTGTGGCTTAAAGTTGCATTATCTTGAGAAGTTGGAATAAGTTTATTATCATTGGCTTTTGAGACTAGCAGATTAACCACTAGACTGCCATCAGATTCTTTGCTTGTTCATTTGTTTTTTTATTTTATTTCTGGGATACGTCATCAGATGAGATAGTTATTTGTGTGTATGTTGAGTAAAGTGTATAAAATTCAGAGAAATGGTCAAAAATTTCTTTTCATCTTCCTGAAAAAAGTACAAAATTCTGATTTAAAAAACCAAAAAAAAAACCGCAAATGAAGACCAAAATGAAAAGATTGCGTGATGTCTCCCCCATATATATATATATATATATATATATATATATATATATATATATATATATATATAATTGGAGTACTTATGTAATACATTTCTTTTTGTTCACTGGAAACTGGATGGATCTCTTGTTTCTACTGTTCAATTTTGGAATTTATTTTCATTCAATTTCAAATCACCTTCTTAGTATGTTTTAAGGCAACCTTACTTCAGTGCAGTGTCTTTTCGTACAATACAGTTTCAACTGCTTTGGGGTTATATCCATACAGATATACATGATGAGAATTTCACTTTTATCCATATTAAATTTTGACTGCATTCAGATATCGAACCAACTGGTTTCAGTTAGCCGAAATTGTTTGGAATTTCACAAAAGCTATTACAGTAAATTACTTTAGAATGGTGGATTACTTGAGATTCCTGTAGTCATTATAAGATATTCCTTGGCAAGCTAATCTTTCTATTTATTTTGTCTTTTAGAGATTGTTGTTGTCTACCATAATGGAGGACGATTCAAGCTCGCTTTGTAAATACAGTGTAACCCGGATATAAGAGAGTTGTCGGGACCGGAGAAGAAGTCTCTTATATCCGGGTTTGGTCTATTTTATATACATTAACACAGGCTCTAATTTGGGACCAGAGAAAATCTCTCTTATATCCGGGTTTCTCTTATATCCGGGTTACACTGTATCTTCTTGCTGGAAAGATAATATCTTAGTCCAACAAAACGTCTTTAGGTCTGTTTGCTATTGGTCCATTTTATTTTTAATTTTGTTGCAATGAAGATGGATACTGATGCCCCAACACTATTTACATTATTCGGACTATTGTCCTCACCTTTGTCGCCATATTTATTACAACGTTTCGGCCGTTGTACGCCCCGGCCTTCTTCAGGTGTTTGTAATGTCGAACTGAACTCTTTATGTCGCTCACTG